TAGCGCTTTTGCGAAACAGGGGTGAATAATCGTTTTCTGGAGGGTTCGAAGAAGGAAAAACACAAGATACAACAGTGAATGCACGGTTTGTGATGAACTGTTTCCAGTCATATTCAATTTCAATGAGAAGGTTGGATCACGAGTACGAAACAACCAGAGATTTTCCTGCTGCTGCACTGTGAGGAATGGATAGTAACTAGCAGGCTTTATTAGGAGAAGCAAAAATTAATAGAAGCATCTCGAGCACGCATATTCTAATCACCAAAAAGCTGAGCTTGCTCAATATGCACGATAAAATTATCGCAAACATGCGAGTAGGCACTGTAGACAACAGAAGGTAGCCGCTATGTCATGACAAAAAAAAACCAAAGTTAATCATGTTGGGCAAAGCAGCGTTTTGAAATGTGATCCCATTTTGCATAAGACCTAGCTTCAAAAGTAGTAGCAGTAGTATCAGTTTGAATAACCTCTAAGATTGCTTAAAGTTGTGAGTGACCAGTAAGAAGGTAACGAAGGCGAGCAGCTGAGGTGACAGTCAATGGTTCAGTGTGGAAGGAAGACGATGAAGGAATCGCTGAGACTCTATGAAGATGATTGCAAAGTAAACAAGGAACGAGGTGTAAGAAATGGCCTTCTGAGGAAGAGGATGAGGAAGGAAGAGAAGAAAAATAAGACCGCATCGTCAAATATCCCCGAAACGTGAAATCTAACCTAACACTTTAGCTTATCCTTGGCTCTATTCACCCTTTACTGCCCCACTTTTCACAATCGCGGCCAGAATTCGATCGAAACTTTTCCCCGCTACTAGTGGATAGATCGGCTGGCACTTTGTTCCCCCCCCCCCTGGGGTAGACTGACATTCTGAATACGAAAGGGACATCCACTTGGTTGAAAACCGCCTGGCACTCGCGCGACAGACCGGTGACAAAACACATCACTAAATCAATTGTATTGGAAATTTCGGTCTAAGAGCACGTGGAAAACGGAAAGTTGAGCTACCTCATCGCTTTCGACCCACACAATATTCCTGCATTGCGTGATTTCTCAAATAGTCAATAAATTTTGATTTTCAATGAATTTCCTTTGTTCCCAGGGATATTTTGATCATTTCAACGCGAATATCACACTGGCAGGGCATAAAGAACCATGTACATCAGGCTATTGGTGGATCTGATCCTTTCGAATCGAAATCGTAATCGAGGAGACGAACTTCTGGCCAGCCTACCGGAGAATGCAAATTTCGAGCAAAATCCGGCCTGAATTCCGAGTAGTGGGGCAGTTAAACGAAAACCGTGCCCTATCACCTCTTCCCCTACTTCTTCTTACTCAAGCTGCTATTCCAGGTTGGAACGAAAAACAGATTGAGTGACAACGAACAAATGAACGGCAGTGGAAAACAAGATTGCCGCGAGTGACAGACCAAATGGACAACAAGTGACAAGTATAGTCAACTTTACCCACCTGTAATGTAGTACGCAGTAACTCGAAGCATTGTAGGTAAGCCATAATGCCGCTGTCCATATTGTTGTTCCCAAACGGTTTCCAACTACCAGACGCGAATAACGGATACTTAACTTCTTCACCAGTAGCTCTGAATTCTCAGATTATTCGTTATCATTTTAAATTACACTGACTCAAAAAAACTCTTGGTTGCAGCGGATGAGGGGGCGTCTCAAGCGTGATGCGTTTCGGGCATTCGCGCCACATTGTTCCATCGTTATTGAGCAGCGCTGCTTACAACGCTGTGTCAGATCGCACTTCACACTCGTCTTTACACCCAACTGATTATTGAAGCTTACCTGCCTTCAGGAACTGGTGAAGATCCGCGGTTTGTGTGCCGCGTCAAACCCTGACACGCCCCCTTTATCCGCAGCGATCAAGATATACCATCATACTTACCGTTTGTAGAGAATACATGAATGACTACACATAGTTATCAGCTTGAAATTATCTCTCTTAACACACGCACGTTGCATCAACACCTAAATGAAAAAGAGTTATGAATACAGTCCCTTAATGATTACGCAATGAAGTACCGGTTAAAACGACCAAAAAAAACTGCTTCTTACGCACATCTAACAGCAGAAGTAGCTGTCCCCATGCGGCATTTATCTCCGGCCAATCGACGAGTCGATCTGGCAGTCGCCCAAGCCGAAAACCGTTTATCTCTCCTATAACACGTCACATAAAGGAGGATACAAAACGAGATCACTTTCTGCCTGGCTTGATGCCTTCAAAGAACGTTCATGATGCACACACACACACACACACACACACACACACACACACACACACACACACACACACACACACACACACACACACTCTCTCTCTCTCTCTCTCTCTCTCTCTCTCTCTCTCTCTCTCTAATCTACACAGTTTATCACACAAACTACAACGCAAAACATTGCTGTATGAAGAAATTAAAAATGTTACACGCCTACAGGGACGTCTAATCAGGGTCAAGGAGACCACGGGAGGGACAACGCCACTCGATGAAATTAGTTTTTGACCTTGTCAAATGTCCATACGCTCGTTCTTTCGCCTTCTACAAGGGTTCTCAGCTCACACAGCAACTCAGACTCAGGTTCAAACGCTTTTCTGACAGCAGTCTGCGCAGTCGGTTTAAGATGTTTTGGGGCAGCAAATGGTACTCCGCGAAGTTTTTTAGGTCACCTTATGGGGATTTGTAAACTCCTGCAACCAAAGTGGCTCATTTTTACAATCTCGCTTTTACAATCTCTCACAGTAATTTACAAGACATAGCAAGGTGTAAACTGCTAATTTGTGAACCAGCTAAATTGCAAAATATCCTTCCCAAGCGGAGCAGCGCCAGCAATACTTCGGCACACTCTCCTTTCTGCGGTCATCGATAGCTAAGAAGCAGGGACAACTGACTGCTTCAGAAAGAAACAGTCGTATTAGTACGAGGGCCCACTTCGACGATGGGGCATTTCGCACTTCAGCTTCTTCACTAGTTCGTTTACGATTCTCACTCTGGTGGGACCTGTGGAGCTGGAGCAAGCTCGTCGAGCCACCCTAGTGGAACGTGTCAACTTTTGTAAGCTCACGAAATTGCTCTCTAGATGGTTGGTACGTCGATGGGAAGAATAAAAAGAGCAAAGTTCCCCTCCTAACCGCCGTCGTTGAAATGCGCCTAGTACAAGTACTGAACCGCCCAATTATCCAATTAGGGGCCCATTTCCTCAAACAAAAGCATGTTCCGTTCGGCTCCTAAGTGTTGAAAAAAAGAATGGAATGATAAGCACCCAAGACGGAAAACAAGAAATCACGGCTATGGCTGGATGGGGCCTGAACAAGGAATGGAGAAAAGTTTGAAAAACAAGTTTCATCTGTCGATTGCTTTGCGAGAACAAACAATCTCAAACCTGCTAAAGAAATGTGATCGTTGTTCAGCTAAGCGTGGAATCGTCTAAATGCACAGCTGTGGTTTTTGGTGGTTGGTTTCTTGGGGGAGGTAAGGTGGCTTTTGTTTTTAGGTATCACGACATCTGACAGTTATAAAGTTCCTCTTTTCTCTGACTCTTTTTTTTCTTTCCTCCTTTGCCTCCTATCAAAAGCTCATCTAAAAGACGCGATGAGAAAATGAATTTCGAAATATGAATGACAGATACCTTTTGACCTCTGATCGATAGTTCTTGAACCCATGTGAGGAAGGAAAGAAAAGGAGGAAGGAATAAGAAAAATGAAAGGAGGAGTGAGACTTCAAAGTGACAGATATCCTGAGACCTGCTCATGAAGTCTCTTTCCATATTCGATAGACTCGAGGTGAGGGGGAGGGGTAAGGGTGGCCTCAAAAGTGACGGCAAAGCTTTCGGTGGGATACTTGGGACAAATACAGTTATGAATTTTTTTCATCACGAAACAGGACGATACTTGTCTCAAATGGGAAAGATCTCACTGGAAAGGCATTTTACGCCATGCTAACCTGAGATGTTTAGTCACACACTCCTCATTTTCGAGACACGGAGTATATGTCCTTGAACGTGTTTCAAGGTCTTGTTCGCTGCGAGTGCTGAGGCGTGTCAGGAAGGCTGGGTTTGGCGCGGCGCCAGCTTCTTCTCCACCAACTGTTTAAGCGGGGTCCAAAACGCCTATCGCAGCGAACAAGACTGTACTATTATTTTACTCTACAATATTTGTACGGCTTCATCTGTCTCTCTGCCTGCCTGTCTGTCCGTCCGTTCATCTGTCAGAAAATGCGGCGATACTTGAAGAGTCAATTTGAGGGACGGGGAAGGGTCATGAGAAGTGCATGAGCCAAGATGTATGGAAAATACTTGAACTCAGCTATCCCGCCCGCTGTGGGCGTTGCTTGCCCTTAGCCAGGAACCACTCAAGAAATCATAAATTGAGAGCCCGAAAAGAGCCCGCATAGTGGGAAATGAGGGAAACGATAGGAAATGGGTAGGCGCATGGAAGAGGGGAGCATAAAACAGTCGGCTCGGCGTTCTACAAATTGGCGGCGCTTGTACACTTTAGGGTCATCAAGTTTAATGGGCAAACAAGGAGTAAAATGGAAGAATATCCTGAACCCTCACCAATAATTCCATCCGATGGATCAACCCAAATATTAAAAACAAGGTCGAGTGCATTGGTGTTTGCAAGGCGTCGATGCTGTTCCGCAGCATATCGAAGCTCTGCATCAGCGTTACGTGTCTTCTCGTCCAGATCGAGAAGACGCCTGAAATTAGTACCACTCACATCTCTGTTTGAAGAACTTCTCATTATAAGATCCAGCATGCCAACCTGTGATTATCTCTAAACTGACGCCACCTGCTTGCCTCCTCTTCGGTCTTCTCTTCCAGAGCTGCTTTCTTCTCCATCAATTCAGCATCCAAACGCGCTTCTTCGGTACAAAGCTGATCGAACTGGGCTTTGAGTGCGCTCTCCTCAGCCTGACAGACGCGAAATCAACCCAAAGGATCGCGACAGCATCAGAGAATGATCGAAGAAGCTACATATATTAAAAGATGCGTGGATAAGCTGATCTAATCAAATACTTCTCTTCTCCCTGCGTTAATCCCATATCGTCCCGGGTAAAATTCAACCCTCTTCCCAACGAAAATGCTTCGAAAACGGCAATATGCTGGCATGAGAATGTCTTGGGCTCTGAACGGGGTGTGTAGCAACAGAATCGTCCGGGCAGCTGGTGGGCGTGGCCTGCGACATACTTGCGGCGAGAAGACGAAGCGTGCTTCTGGCGGTTTGAATAGGGTTATTGAAGGGAAGGTAAATATTGATATCACCCAGGATCGAGTCTTGTGTTCAGTTACGGTTAAGTTTTCAGTTAGAGTATGAAAAAGTTCAATAGAGCACGAAATTCATTGGGGTCTTTAACATTTGCTCTGGTTTGTCATCTTTTACAGCAGCTCACAGAAAAACTTGGCCACCCGTCTATTATATTGACGCTGGCGACTGCGCAAATCATGTGAACCACATAAACATAGGAGAATCACAGCCTTATCTGATTTCTTTTGTATCTGTTTATTTCCTGAAGTTGCGTTTATGGAACCGCCAAACAATTGTGTGTTACTATCAAGAAAAACATCATTAGATTTTCAATCATTGATGAAACCTGCTAAATGTTGCGGATGTACGCTGTAGTAAATCATTTGCTCCAGTCGCAAAGCTATCGGCTAGCAAATGCACGTAAGTGAGCTGCTGAGTCATTCGCCGCGCGACGCGCCGCGTGCCACGGGCGCTGCCCCAGACGATTCTGTTGCACGCCTCACCCTCTGAACGAGGGAGCCACGATATGGGGGCAGAATTAGCTTTGGAAAGATCACTCTGACATGACACGCTGACAAAAAAACACGCTGTGCGCTACGGGCAACCCTTTTTAAGATGTCAACCTTTTACTTATTCCAACACAATACTCTTCTTATTCACCCTGTTAAATTGTGGTAATTACTGATGTTCGCGAGGAAGTTCTCAAATAGCATCTGCATAACCCTTTAGCATGCAGGTTGTGCAGGTAATCACTATTCTCTTACAATCGCTCTTCGACCCTTTACCTGTCCAAAAGTAAAGTAGTGATTATGAATTGCTCTGCCAGAACAATTCATACTTACGGGACAATCGCACGGGAAAACTTAGGAACATTAGGAAAAACGGACTCGAAGGAAATTTTGTAATAAGGCATTTCCGCTGCGCGCTGAAGCCCTCATTTATATATCCGTCCCTACCCAACCCTCCCCCCCCTCCCCACGCCACCAGAAAGAACCTGCAAGATTTATCAAAGTGGCAACTTATACGGCAAAAGCGACAGAAGTAGCTTCAATATGCGGCGGGAAAAACTGCGAAATAGCAATGAAGAAAATACAACAAAACAAGAATAATAATAGGAAAACCTTAAGATTCCGCAACGTTTGCTTGTACGACGCGATGTCAGCATTCGAGTGCTTTTCTTTGAGGTAATCAATAAGTTGACGGTAAGCGGCACAATCGTCTTCAAGAAGTTTCAACTGCTGATCCATGTCAACTAATAGTTGATCAGAACATTCCTAAAAATACTGACCCATGAAACTGCGCAAAAACCCCTAAAATAAAAAAAGCTTGATGGAAGCACTCCCACCATTCAATATAATATAAAAGAGTGATGTCAAGATAGCATGCACACATTGCACTTAGGTTACGTAACTCATCGAGTACTGTGAAATTGGGGTGACAGCACGTCTTTCAAGAGCGGGGTCATGGTACAACCCCTCTCACTGCACCTACCATTTTACCAATTTCTCCCAATATTTGACCGTCAGGCGGAGTGTGGGCACGGTGGACAAGTCCGATCAAGTATCAGCAATATTGGTCTTCCACCAACTAGGAGGGCGGAAATCAGTATGCACCACCTCTCCCCCCCCCCCCCCCCCCACCGCTGACACTACGCTGACTGCTTTACAAGAAGCATTTCTAACATATTATCAAAGACCCATGCCCGAGAAATTTGTAGGCGTCCTTCCTTGTAAAAGTGATCTGGGCCACAATTTCAAGATTCTCGCGCTTACTTCACAGTAAGTAATGGGTGCTATGGCCGTCAAAAGTGGCCACTCCGACGCCTCCCAGTTGCGTCCCACCCCCGCCCTCCACAAAACTGACGAGATTTCTGTTCCCGATAAGTTTTTACCCCTGTTTACATCTTTTGTTCTCTTACTGTGGATATTAGGTCGTTGCAAAAGAAATGCAGGATTTTGTTTTTTGTATTTAATACTTATTTTATTCCAATAAAATGTTACTTTAATATGAAGTGTTATATATTATTCGAAAGCTTATCTAATGCTCTTTCTAAATGATACTTCAAGATTGGTTGTAATTCTTTTTATTATCATTTTCATTGACGTTTTATGGTGACTGTTTTGGTGGTCATGTGCCGCCAGGTCTCATCACCCAGTTCCCGAACCCCTGAATGCCTGTTGAAACAACTACGCAGAGAAGTACCATCAGCAAATCGACGAAATGCATCAGAAGCGACAATGCCCGACCACACGTCGCACAATCGACCCTCCAGAAGTTAAACGAATTGGGCTATGAAACTCTGCCTCATCCACCATACTCACCAGACCTGTCGCCCACCGGGATTTTAATTTAAGTTTTATTTTTTTGTGTTCTTACCACTTTTTCAAGCATCGCTGGACAACCGATCTTAAAGAGAAATGCTTCAAAAAACCAGGATGATCGCCCAAAACGCCCTTGCAACGATTTCGTGGCCTCTAGAAATCCGGAATTTTATTCAACCGGCATAAATAAACTTGTTTCTCGTTGGCAAAAATGTATTGATTGTTATGGTTGTTATTTCGATTAATAAAGTTTATTAAGCTGAGTTATGTTCATTTCAAGCGTTAAGGTTTAAAATCCTGCTCTTTTGCAACGACCAATAGCATTGGATGACGCGAATAAAAGACTATGTGAGCCGTACGGCCGGATATCGCTTTTGGGAAGGTTCTGAAAAAACTTTCTCCACAGATTGCTGACAGAATCATCCACACAGGCAGTGTTCTCCATCATTTCTGTTTATTTGTCTTCCCGGACGTCCTTTTAGCGGGGACTATGGGTTTGTTTGCCGCGCGTTCCCACAAAATACAATCATCGTCAGGGATTGTTTTCCCAGACCTCATGCTCGGATGCCAAAGGCTCCATATACGAGCTAAGGCAGGCCACCCGATTCCTTCCCCCCCCCCACCTCAAAGAGCAAAGCACCTAACGTTCAAAAATCTTAAACTTGTTCGATCAAATTTTGCCAGGCTCCATAAAGGATCCCCTCCGAAGCGGTGGAAGATGAAGTAGCACCAGCAGATAAGGACATAGGAGTCCTTATCTCTGCTGGTGCTAGAGACAAAGATTTCATGCCTTGAGTGAAAAGCCAAAAATATGAGAAGGGAAGTAACTCTGGCCGTTGCCTACACTCCCCTCGAGCGGAGGCGGTCCCTTCCCCGTATGCTACACTTCCCCCGAAGGCTTTGGGGGAGACGCCACGCCCACCAAATCAGGGGGAGAGCTCCCCCAACAACAAGTGTTGGGGAAGACATCCCCTGGAACAGTTTTTTAGTTTATTTCGCATTTGTTTTGAACTTTTCTTTATTTCTTCATGTTACAGAAACATTCCTAACCACTCTACCGATTTTTTTCATCTCATTACTTTTTACACAGTGTTTGGAGAGCTATTCTATGCTATTGTCTGACCGCACTTTTTACACTTTCAAAAGATTCGATCCTTTCTTAGGACTTTACTATAGCTTGCAACGTGGAACGTTTTCTTTTCAATCTTGAATAAAATATATTCAATCTAATATAAAATATTATATTACATGATCTAAATTATACTAATTAAGAAATAATGTAGGCTGTGTATGTATTTACTGCAATTAATAATATATGTTGTATAAGTTCGCAACGGTCGCTATCCAAACCATGCCGAGGTTGCCTATTTGAAAAAAAAAACCCGTGCGCTTGTTTAAACCCTTTTCGTTGGGGCGGGATCCATTTTATTACCACAACTGAGGGTGTGGAATTCAAAGGGCTATTTACTACGGTGAGCATCGTTATTCGTAAAGATGAACTTTATTCATCGTAGTACAATAACTGAGTCACTGATGATGATCATAACTAACAAGTTATCGAGTAGCAGTTTAGAGAAGTCCGTTCAACTAATTCTTACTGGTTTCACAAAGTCCTCTGAAACAAATTTGGATCTACTAAATAAGGTAGAGAACTCAACTTAGCGAACTTTGTACTAACCATAAGGATGCCCTATGTTGGATCGTTAGTTGCACTATTCTTTATGATCCTAGTATAGGTACTGCTATCGGAGCAGGCAACATAACGTGTTGGGGTATCCCCACACGATCCCCAAATGAGGTCTAAGGGGGTTCGTATTTGGCCGCCAGGAGATGGGATGCCGAGTGCGCGTTCGGAGAGCGGAGAACATAGTGATAGAGACAGGGCCACTAAGATAGTGGATAACATGTCGTTCTTACGCTAGGTGGGACAGATTCAGCCACCCTTTAATCTAGAATTTCCTACATTCCGAACATTTAAACTGAGAAAATGTTTTTCCTGAACCGGATTCAAAAATGTTTGGAAAAATTAATGCTTCCCTATGACCTTGGTTAATACACAATTCAGCCTGAAAATAGCTTTATAATAAGCAGGGCAAATGATTGCAATTGATAATCATCAGTCTTAGCTTGAGATTCTCCGAAATGTCAAAGTGCAAAGCCAGAGGCTGGATGTACGGACCCCGAAACCCTTCCCCCAAATTTGCGCCAGCCAACTCTGCGTCTCTACCGCTTCGGGGATCCCCTCGAGTGTAGCATACGGCCGCTCTGGGGGACGTCCCCCTGGGGCTTCTCCTAGAGTGGGAGTATAGCATACGCAACTCTGAAGGGAGCCAACGGATTTCAGATCGAAACTGACCTTACATACTGGAGCATCCGATGGAACTTCTGCATCACAGATTAGATTCATTAGGCTACACGATTGTCCAGCAGTAAAACTTGTAGCATCCGTCTCTAAAGGCTGTAACGGTCATTTCAACGTAGATCAAACAAAACAATCACCTCTAAAAAGGAGGATTAAAAAGAATTAAAAATAATTGAAAGTAATTCTTACTAAGGAATATTTGGTGTTTTTACGACCGTTTTTGAGAGCATCGTAATGCAAAGAATTATTATGCAAAACTTTACGAACAGCAAAAACATAAACAAACCTGGATATCTGTGGTGAAAACACAAAGTCATATTTCTACTTGCTTTCCGTCCTTTACTATATACGTTCGCTATCTCCATCAAGAAAGGATAATGGCTAGCCAACAAAGATACATACTTTTCGTCGGCGTTTTTAGCGTTTCTGAGGAAGAGGGGAATA